CAACGAACAGCTGCCTGCAGCCACTGGGCTGCACCATGTTCCACCTGTCCCCACTCACCCCAGCTGCTGGGCTGCACCATGCCCTGGTGCAGGCATAAGTGCAAATAAGCAGAGCCAGGCAGCACAGGGGAGGGGCACACCTCTTGCTGCTCTGCACCCCCTGGGAGGGCTGTGAGCTGGCGTGCTGTGCCTGGCTCTTCCCAGGGAGTGCAGGCCCCTGATCTGCATGTGGCATGACAGCAGGCTACCACTGCAGGCTGGGGCCAGCACAGCCCGCAGCCTTCCTAGGGGATGCTGAGCAGCAAGAGGCACACCCTCCCCTCCCACACACTGACAGGTCCCTCCACAACTGGCACAGGCTGCGCCTAGGGCTGGGGTGAGTGCTGTGCCCCGCACTGCCCGGAGCTCCATTTGTCTGCACTTACCCCAGCCCCTGCTGGGGCAGCTGACACTAGGGCATGGTGCAGCCCAGCAGCTGCGCTCCCAGGGCCCCTGCAGCCAGGGCTGGGGTGAGTGTGGCCAAGGCCCTTTCTCTTCCCCACCCCAGACTTACCTGCTTGGGTCAGGGGGCACCTATGCTGATCACATGAGAGCAAATTTACCTCACATATAATGAATTACAGGTCTAAAATATGCTCATCAAATAAGATCAAATTCACATATAAAGAACCCGCATAAAAAAAGGACTGAGGGAAACCTGTAGCTGTTCTTGGACAGCAAAACTTTAAAGCCAGCTAGAAAATGAAACTGTGGAATAAGAAGTCATCTGCAGACTGGGCTGTGTTAGATATGATCTCAGGAAAGCTGGATTCTTATCTTAATACTTGAACTAGCTTTTATAATTTCATTTCCTTCAGTGGGTTGCTTTGGTCACCTCCTTTAAATTTTTTCAAATTACCTCCCCCTCCCTCAGCAATTTCCCCTTTTTTTCTGCCCCTTTCATTTAAAATTATATTTATCCTTTCTATTCAGTACCCCCTGCTCTCCGCAAACCCATCCAAAACACTTGAGCAAGTAGGATATCTGCCTCTCTGAAGTTAGTCTATAAAAGTGCCATACTGCTTTGCCTTCTGCTATTCTGTTATCAGTAAAGCACTCTTAGGAGAGATATACACAGAGAAAGTTAGGCAGATATTAGGTGAAGAAGCAGAATAGAAAAAAGTCTGACAGCCCTAGGTAAGTCATCTTTAAGGAATAAAAGATTTAGGGAAGAACAGGTACCTAATTAGCCTTCTTGCCCCTCAACATTAAGATCATTTTGTTATAATACTTTGCGTGCACATGAGTGTGTGTAAACAAAGCAAATTCATAGTACAGCAAGCATAGCAAAACTGAAAGTTCCACTAACCATTCCATATGCCATCATCCCTGTTGGTGTTGTAGCAGGATAGGCCATTACAGGTGGTGCCTAACAAAAAGAGAAAAAAATACTGAGCTGCATGAAAAGATTGTTATAGTAATACATTGCTTTTAAGTGTCAATTACTGCACTTAGACAGTATATTACTAATTTAGCAAAAAAGGTATATTAACATCTGTGAAATACCAAAAACCCCTCCAACTCACACTCTTGGTTCACAGGAGATTTATTTTATTAGAACTAAAAATAGCAAAAAGAGCTTCTTTCTTTGCAAGTTTTTGGGCACTAGGATCCTTCTTCAGGCTGAGGAGAAATCAACGATTGTAAAAGCCCTCTTAGGTAGGAAATAAACTTAAATTTTACACAAAGGAAAGTTGAGGCTGGACATATTCCCATGGGTCAGAGTCCTTTCATGTGAGTTGCTCTCTGATGTTCACATAAGGCTGTCCTCTTGCAGGGAGGAGACTGTCACAGGTCAGAAGCAGGCAGGGAGGCAGAGAAATCTCTCTCATTTAGCAGTGAAGTTTACTTTTTCAAAAATGGCTGAAATACAGTATCTTTTGTGTTTCTGGGATCTATTCTGCAGCTGTGTTGGCCTGAGAAAAAGAAATACAAAACTCTAAAACTCTTGGTTCAGAGGCAATACCTTTTATTTTTTGCATTTCTCCATCTCAGACCAACACAGCTGGCAGCTGGTATCAAGTGGTGCACCCCAGGGGTTGGTTTTGTTCTATGTCTTCATCAATGATCTGGAATATGGCAGAGTGCACCCTCAGTAAGCTTGCAGATGATACCAAGGCAGAGGGGGAAAGTGGCAGATATGCTGGAGGGTAGAGTTAGGATTCAGAGCAACCTAGACAAATTGGAGGATTGAGCCAAAAGGATGCAGACAACTTGGAGAGAGTCCAGCAGCAGGCAAAAGTGGTTTGGGGGCTGGGGGACCTGACTTATGAGCATTTATTTTGTCTAGAGAAAAGAGAAGATGTGGGGGAAGGTGGGGCAAAGGTTTAATAGCAGTCTTCAACTACCTGCAAGGGGGTTCCAAGGAGGATGGAGCTGGACTGTTCTCAATGGTGCTAGGTAACAGAACAAGGAGCAAATGTTGCAGCCAGAGAAGACTAGGTTAAGATATTAGGAAGAATTTTCTCACGAGGAAGGCAGTAAAACACTGGAACAGGTTACCCAGAGAAGTGGTAGAAGCTCAATCCTTGGAGGTTTTCAAAACCCAGCTACACCAACCCTTGGCTGGAATGATCTTGTTGGGGCTGGTCCTGCTTTGAGCTGGGGGTTAAGCTAGATGACCTCCTGAGGTCCCTTCTAGCCCTAAATTTTTATGATTCTAATTCTCACAGAAAGACTCAGACCCAGGGGAATACATGTCCAGCCTCAATCTCTCCTGTGCAAAGTGAAGAAATGAAGTTTATTTTCTATGCAAGAGGACTCTTACAATCTTTGACCTCTCAGCCTGAAGGGTGTGCGTGCCTAAAAGCTTGCAAAGAAAGTTAAAAAACTGTTTTTCCAGTTGGTCTAATAAAATGTATCAGCCTCTGAACCAAGAGGTTTAGGAGTTCTGTATTTCTGTCTCAGACCAACACTACTACAAATAGACCCCTATTAGCAGTTGTAAGGTTTAACCACATTTTCTTACGTAAAATTTTTAATCGTGTGCCAGTTTTCTTATACTAAACCTTTTAGAAAGCCTTGACATGCATCTAATTGTTACTAATTGGAATAATTATGTTAAGACTTTGGCCAGCAACAACCTAGTGTTCCAGCTACTGGTCTTTGTGCTTTTTTTGACTAAATAGTAAAAGATAAAGATGCTTTAGACATGAGATTCAGAAAACAAGCAACTCTTCCTGAATCCTATGAAGTATACAACTTAATATTTATCTTTAAGAAACTGTGTCCAGGTGGTTTCTAAAGATGGAACTAAAATAAGAAGCCAAATGACCGTCACAGAAGACATCCAGAAGTTCTTCTCTTTGACAGCAGCCCACAAACCGAGGTAAGTGGGCAGGAGGCTCCCAAGATTACTTCAGTCCTTATGCAATTCCACCACTTCCAGCAATGGTGCAAATGCAATTGTTGACTGGCTTTTGGTATCTTTCCAGTCTGCCTTGCCCCATTCAGACGCAGTCATCTTGACAACACTGTACTAAATGTCCCTGGCTACACTTGTCCTGAAGCAAAGATCAGAGAGTTGTGGAATCATGATGGTCTGATTTTTTTTATTCGAGTATCAGTTCCATGTTTTGCACCCATTTGTAAAGGTACAATTTTTTTAAAAGAAAGAATTGAAGACTCCTAGAAATACTCCAGTTACCACAATCAAACTAGTCACTGCTTCTAATCCATACTGTGGTGTATTCACAGTGGTAAACTTTTGCACAGCTTGTGACAAAAATAAGATTAGCAGCTCTGCTCCATGTTTTCTCTGTCAACTAACCATCTTCCTTGCTTTAAAAAAAATCTGACACCTGCAAAGACCTTCTGATACTTCATAAAAACCAGAAAGGCATGGTTTATAAAAGGTAATTCTGCATACTTATACCATATTCATTTGTCTTACCATCTCATCCCCCTTCCACCACTTTATATAGAATTCTGATTGCAAAGAGATCTTAGACAGAGTCTATCTGAATATTTATGAAGTACCAAATTAATGTCTTACCCAGCTGTCTTCATCTGCTTCACCTTTATAAATTATGCAAGTGATTTAACATGTGTTACATTCTTTGCTGTGGAAGTTTCATGACAGCCAGAAGATATACCCAATGATTATAACTTTCATGCTTGGCTCTTGCATTATAATGCTGTGGAATACAATTGAATCTGTGCTACTTGTGGTATTTAAAACTAGACTTAAGAATAACAGTGGGCATGTCTACACAAGAGACATTTACTGTGGAGCTGCACAATTAGCTCTGCAGTAGATGTCTATGTGTCTACGTGTGCAGCCCTATTAGGCCACAGGAAACACTGCAGCAGGTCAGTACTTGTAAATACAGGTACTATCCAGCTGTAGTTCCTGTGCACTGACCTGGCTGAAGCATGAGGATGCTTCAGTACAGGGGTTGCCTGCAGGTTAGCAACCCCCCCCCACAGGAGCACCTCATACCCCAGCCAGCCCCTCTGCAGCAGTGAGCTGAGTCGGAGCAGCCATGGGCTGGCAGGCCGACTGCCCCAGATCCCCTGCCAGCCGAGGCTGCTGTCCTGGTTCAACATGCTGTGGTCTGGAGTGCATGCCATGTGCCAGAGTGTATTGCTGCGCATTAATATGCATGTGTAGATGTGCCCAGGTGACAGGTTCTAAAGGCACAAACTTCTACTGGTAGGTAAGTGACTTAAGTCAAGCTCCCCAGAATGTGGTACAAGCAGAATTTGTTAGGATTAACTGAGGTAGGAGCTGCTCTTTAACATGTGATAACCAATGTTAAATCAGCATTCTAAAAATTAAGAATATTTTCCTGTTTGAAGAATTAGTTGTATCATATGCTATCTAAATATCTATTCATGCAGTTCAAAAGACTACTCTGAAAATTACTGAACTTGTCAACACTACATTCACTATATATGCTGGTTAATTTTTTTCCCAGAATGCGCAAGTATAGGACTTGATATTCTTCACTGCTAACATCCCACAATGAACAAAAACAGAGAAAGACCAATATTTTTGAAAGATTATCCAAAATGAAAGACTGCATTAGTCAAAGAAAGCAACACACACAGGTTACAGCTTACCCCTTATAAACTGGAATTTTCTCCCTTTAGTTGAGCATTAATGACATATTGGTCTCTCTCTACTTAGAAAGCAAGATCTACAATCAATGTAGATATAGTGCCAAGTATAACAGAAGCCTGTGAGATTTCATGCAGTTACTCAAACACAAACATCTCATCTTCATTCAAAATTCACCAAGTGCATTTGAGGCAGCACAAACACCCCAGCTCTCTGGCAGCAGATGGTACAATATTAAGCAAGAAAAAAAATCTTGGTAATTCCCATGCCATCATTCGACTCAAGAGCCTGCAGAATACCCACAAGATTTGTATGTGCTAGGAAAAGCTCAAATTTTCAGCACACCAAAGGTCTTAAACGTGAGACATATGCAATAGCAGGAAGGTTATGAGATTCTGCTATAGCAGTGGTTAATATCAGCATGCCAGTTGATAGCAAAAAGGCTGTGGGGTTTTTTCACTTACGTATTGTGGAAAATGCATGCCATTCTGTATTTCCCAGGGAGAACAATTACATAATGCAATAACACTGGATTAGAAACAAGTACTAACACAACACAATATACACAGACAGCATTTTAGTTCACAACTACACTTAATATCTATTCTAAAATACATATTCTTGTAATCCAAATCATTTAGTGAGGCAACATCTGTTATGGGACACTGTCAAGGCTGATGGCTTTGCATGTTTACAAAGCCACTTATTCTTGTTTTCTAAAAAAAACAGGTCTTTTCTTAAAAAAAGTTAGGCAGGCAGCAGCACTGCAAGCAGAAACAATCCTACAACAAACAAATCAGTGAACCAAGGCAGAAAGAATGTGATGCGAATAAAAACATTTAGTCTTTTAGGGTTTGTTTTTTAAACAAGTAAAGCTTTTGCATAAGAAGCCCTTGACAGTGTCTTTAAACAAGCAGTAAATTTTGAAGTCTAATGTGTTACAAGCAGATGTACAAAGACAGTGGTTATTTTGCTAACAATTAACTAGCATCAAACACATTAGGGACTGGAGTTAATAGCCACCACCCAACATGGCAGCAGCTAGCACACCTGGAGACAGTGCTTCTCTAATCAGTTATAAAATATTGCATTACACTGTCAATTCAGTCACTTTTGGACCTTACATATTTAAAAAAATTGTTACATTTATGCAATCTTGCAAGTTTGTGATGAGAGGGGAAACAATTCAGAAAAACTTGGGTCCAATTAGCATTACTAAAAATTGTTCAAATACATTCTTCTCCCTGCCCCTCTCAACATTAAGGGTTGGGAGGACAGACCCCATGTTACACTATCTGTAGCACGAGTTATTTTTAGTCAGAATTAGATTGGTTGGTCACAAACACTAAAAGCAATTACATGTCAGGATGCGACAGTATTAGCTACATCTATTTTTAAAGGGAACCATCACCATTGCCCATATCTTGAAGGAGTGTAGGATGAAGTACTTCCTGCTGCATCTCCCAAAACAGGCTAAGTGTTAAAACATTATAGCTTTACCAGGCCCAAGTGTAGCTCCAAACACACTACAACCCCCAACCATCACTTCTGACTTGCACACAGTGTTATTTAAGTCATTTCTGGCCTAACAATATTTTATATTTATACTAGGATTTAACCACATTACAGATGAACTCAAAAGGCAAAATTTAGAGCATGTGGAGTCAGACAACCTAAATAAAGACTATCTAGCTACCCGTTACCACAAAAAGGAGTAAGTTCTGTAAACTGACTAGTTCTTCAGTTTTTACATCCTTACCACAAGGGTGAGTGACAACCACCTACCCCCCCCCCCGAACATGCTGGTTTCTATTCAAGACTCCCTACATCAGAACTGGCCAGTCACTTACCAAAGTTGGGGCATTCCATGCAGTCGTAGGTGCAATTTTGGGTTGCCAGTTGGAACCGCCAGTTAATTTCTTTTCACCTGGCTGAGTCCAATTTACATCACTTTAAATAAACAATGAAGAAGGAAACATTATGAACAATGTAAGAGCTGCAGTGTTTGACACCAACATTAGTCAGCTTTTCAGGAGAAAATCTTCAGCATCATTAAGTCGCCACTTAAGAACTGGCACAAGTAAAGCAGCTGCAGGTGGTCACAAGTAGCCTTGATCTAATTAAGGGTTGTATTTAGGTCTAGTTTAGCTAATGAGCTACTTACACTTGACCCAAGCCTCACCTACACTTTAAAGCTAACAACTCAGCTCAGTTTTTGCAGGTCAAGTTTAGCTCAGGAAGAGCTGAAATCATCCAGAGACTTGGCACACATCCTGGACAGCCTAAACACCGCTCCACAGAAGCCCAAGCTAGTTTTGCATTTCTCTCTCTATACACACGCATCTTTTTAGCATTATGGTGCTAGCCTATTAACAAATTACATGCTGAACTAGCAAATAAGATATGAAATTTTGTATCTGTTCAGAATAAAGCAGACAGACATCAGGAGCTAGGGGGATTTAAAAAGATAATTGAAGTTGCCCCATGTTGTAAATCAATCTCTGGCACTGACTCCATCCCACGGCCTATGGCCAGTCCACTCTCTGTTCCTTCACCTGCTGGGGAGATTATAGGTTCAAAACCACTGTTAACATGCTGAAGTACTATTAGGAGCAAGTAAAGTTAAAACTCCAGAAAGAAATTTGCCAAAGTTGTTTAAAGGCAAACACTCACTTTTTAGTAGTTCCATTTCCAATGCCCAAATCTGTCACAGAAAGAAAAGACCATTATTAAACATCTTAATCTGTTTTCATTCTTTAAATAAAAAAGAAATTTAGATCTCCAATACGTACTGCCTACAAGGTTGGCTAAAGATGAATCCAGGTCATCTGATACCAACTTGTTAGGTGGTACTTTGGCAACTGGAAGACTCTGGTTTTGAGAGGCCACTGTTGGTTTTAGGAGTCCGCCTAATTCATCAAAGCCTTAAAACAACAAGCAAAGTACAATTAATATTATTTGAGACTTCCATTGAAGATGAAGTCGCATTTACATTAAAAGGGGGAAGGTAAGGGAGGTCCAATACAATGCAAGTAGACAGACTGATCAAGCATAGCAGAACTACACTACAGAGAAGCTACAAATGAAGCTATTTCAACCTTCAACCTCAAATAGAGGTCATCTTTGCAGGTAAAATTCAGCTGCTTTAAGGACTAATCCTGCAAGCCCGATGGAGCATGAAACTCAACCATATTGCAATGCAAATTCCAGATGTGGAAGGTCTGCAGGAAAAGGCCTGGTTTAGGAGATTAAAACTCTACTTTTCATTTTCAAAGAAATTCCTTTTTAAGGAAGGGCAAAAGAAAACCAAGTCAAATGCATAAAATCTCTCATGGAGAAAAGGTTTTATTCTTGGGTGCTCAAACGAACCAAAGGAAAGTGTATCTACACATTCATTAATGTGCTTTTGCTACTGTGGCTCTTATGAGGCAGCACATAAAGGCACATTAGGCTGCCCTAACGCACATAGCAAAAGTGAATGCCTTTAGTGACACTTAATGCACAACAGACTAGTTCTACTGCACATTAGTGCATTAGCACTCTTTGATACAAGGCTTTAATGCACAGTAGAATCCGCTACTGCACATTAAAAGCACGTGTACGTGCCCAGAAGGTACTAAAAATAATTCCATTTCTTGTTAAAATGAATGCATGCTGGCTTTAACAAGTTTGCGATCCTGATCTTAAAACAAGTCATGACATGAAAAAGGCAGACTCCATATTAAACACAAAAAAATTTAAGGGCAGAATAGTAAACAACTTAAGGTTTTGTTAGTTTATAAAACTGCCTTTTAAGAGCACAATGCAGGGGGGGAGGGAGGAAGAATCAGTTTTATTTCATAGCATACTAAGTCACCATACAGCATTCTGATAGTTTGATTTCAGTGGAACCAACAACATAAACAAGCCTATCTAGCTCAGAGTAAAGTTACTTACATGCATATGCATTTGCAGGATCAAGGTCTAAATGAAGGAAAATGACCGTTTTAGAACAAATCTGTATACAAAACACTAAGAGGGAGATGCCTTAACTTACAAAACTGCAAAAAATCCCCCCAAGAAATTAAGTGAAGGATGCTGCTATTAAGTTTAACTCAGTCTGCTTTCACCAGCTGGAATAAGGTCATAGTCTGTACTTGTTTGCATTAGCAAAGCCTACTTTCCATAGGTGTCATTTGATTAAAGCACGTTTGTTGCTTACATTAAATATTAATGAAAGCCTCTTACCACCAGAATCTACTATAACATTAGAAGATTTGTTTCCAAATACAGACTCAAAGTCAACATTAAGGCCAGCTGATGGCTGTGGCTGAGCAACAGGAGATGGAGTGAACCCTAAACAAAAAACAAAAAAAAGAACAGAACAGCATATTATAGCAATTACTCCATACTGTTTCCTATGGAAGACAGAGGTATGCCAAAGTGCATATTTAAAAGCTACTGTACAACCTCTAATTGCCTGAAGAACAGAATAATGAAGAAACTCATGAAAACCCAGGTTATACCCTAAAGTAGAAAGAAACACAGGGAATGACCCCAGGAGTGATTTTTACCCCCAACTATTTTTTTTCCTCAGTTTTCTCCTACAGAAAGGGCAGGCCATGTCCCCAAAGTCTATGGATCCAAAAGATCCCTAGAGGCAAGGTCAAGTCCTACATCTTCAGATTCAGACTCAATTCGGTGGGAATGAGGGTAGTTATGTGCAGCTCTGTTTCCCAACACCTGCTCACAATAGCACGAAAGCAATGCTATAGCCACCTGGCCCTTGCAAGCAGAAAGGCTGGCCAAGACTCTTCTTCAAAACAATGGTTTTGAACCATTTGCCTGTAAGCTCCCTACACCATTTTAGTTAACAGGTGAAAAATCTATGAAACATCATCTCAACTGTAACAAACCACACCATGATAGGATGTCTCACTAAATGCATGAATGCAAGGCAACCACTGCTGAAAATAATTAGAGACAGTTACAACCAATAGTTTGATGTCTGTTCCATTATTTTTAATACCCCTTGTAGGAAGTTATATATCTAGCGACTAAGAAGGGGCCAGACTAGGACCTAGAGCCAGTTTTACCACATTGCTTTGTCAGGCTACACAACTTTGTTTTATGCTCAAATGTAAAAAACAAAACAAAACCCCCACAAAAACAGCCCCCCCAAAGAAGCAGAACAAAAAGATGCTGCTGCTCATGTACCAGATCTTGTACGCATTAGATAATATTATCACAATGTTTTGAAGGCTTAATGTATTGTTAACTGCTACATAACCATTTTAAAAAGAGTTATGACCCAATTCAATACGTTATGTAAAAGAACATAATGTTGAACTGAGTTGTATATGAAGAATGCCTATACTGCAACTCTTGTCATTTTATGTCGGTAACTAAAGTACTAATCCTTTTACGTGAAAAGGCGCCATAAAATTGTAATTTAAAAACAGGTTAACTGACCACTACCATTAGCAACACTGCTTTTTATACCAATGTGGACAGCACTAACTTTAGGAAAAGAATGCATTACTTAACTATAAAAAGCACTCTAGTATAAGAGCAGAAAACTCATCTTTAAGAACATATTTTCTTTTTAGAACATTAACTAATTTCTGCAGTAGTCACCAGCTCTCATATTTTAACTTTTTCAGCTGCTTTAAGACTCATTTTCTTTGAGACTGAGTATGGTTGTGGAAGGGGCTAGAATTTTACTCTGGAGTTCCTGTTACTGATCCAGGGAACTACTCTCCCACAGAAAATGTCACCAAGGAGGAGGAACACACCCACAAACAACTTTGGGGATTAAAATGTATGTTTAGCACACAATTATTATATTGGGAAAATTAGAAAAACAGAAGAAGTCTAAGAATCAAATGATTCTACATGCATTTTCTGGATACTGTATCAAACTTCTACTCTGCAATCTATCTTTAATTTTGACATCTATTCACAACCATTTTGATTCAGTGGATCCAAAACGTTAGTTGCTCATTTTAAGAATCCTTATTTCACCAAAATGCAGCGTTTCAATGTCTCAAGCAGTAATTCTCCTACTAAACACAAAATATTTCTCTATAACTCAAAAGCAACAGTCTGTTAGACCAGGGGTGCTCAACCCCTGCCTTGTGGGCAGGATCTGGCCCATAGGACCAAGTCATCTGGCCTGCTGGGCTCCCCAGTGTCATTGTCAGTTGCTGGTCCCCCTACTGCCAATTTTCACAACCCAGGGGAGCCCAGCAGGCTGGAAAGCATGGCCTTGTCTGCTACATTGGGCGTGCAGGGCATAGTCATGCCAGGGCAGCGCACAGTGACCCAACTCCACATGCCAACTTTGTGAGAGATCCAGACTGTGGGGCCAGAAAGTTGAGCAACATTGTGTTAAGAGTTACACCATCTGCACCAGATACAGTGATTGGGTGCAATCAATAGGACAAAGCCCATTTCAGGAACTGTACAAATCCAAACACATTGCACTGCTGTAAAGACAACTAACTAAATTAGTAACCAGACATGATCCTTTAGGTAGATGTGATCTCTTTTATTAGACCAAATAAAGAGTTGGAAAAATTGTTCTTTGCAAGCTTTTGGGCACAAACACCCTTCTTCAGGCACAGGGAGAGTCTGTTGGTGTTTGTGCACTTTCCTGGGTAGAACAGAAGCCAACACACAAAATGCAGGGTTTTATTCTATCCAGGAAAGGAAAACTTTTAGTTGGTCTAGTAAAAGAAATCACATCCCAAAGAACAGTGTCTGCCCATTTCCTTAGACCCACACAGCTATGACCAACAACCCTAATTAGTAAAATCAGGAATTTCATACAAGAAAAGTCTAGTACATTCACCTATCATAAACCCTACAACAGATAAAGAACAAAAGCAATGGAGAACACCAGGAAAGTGTGGAGGGGTGTCTTTGGAATCACTTCCTCATCTCAGAGTTTGGGTATAGGTCAAGAATACATATTAAACAGACACATGTAGAGAGCACTGTTGCAGCTGCTTTTCACAGGAAACCATTTAGTGTAGCAGGTAGCAATGGCACGCAGATTAGAAGAGTGCCCTTGAATATTGTGTTATAAATTAATACTTATTTTGAGCATTAATTTAAAAATACAAATTAAAAAGTAACAAGGTCTAAGCTAAAACAACTAATCTATCTGCAATGATGCATCTACCTTAAGCAGCAATGTATGAATCCAAATTTTTTAGCCAACATACATGAACAATGCAGTTCTATCCAACTGACGAGCCTACTAATGCTAGGCACGTAACATACTGTGTCTTTGGTAAGACCCTGTCACATTACCCACCTCCAAACACACCAGCTACAGTAGAGGGCTCATTGCAGAAATTAGAAGCATTAGGATAAGCTTGAGGACCACAAACACAATCTGACAAGGCATGTCACAAAAGCAAAAGAGCAGAGAAAAGAGAAGGTATGTTACAGAAAGGAACAGTATATACTATTTATATCCTACACCAAATGTGCCAAACTGAAATTAAGAATGAGTTTATGTATGCTGTAACCATACAATGATACCAGAAGAGTCAGCCTAGTACAAACACATTAAAAAGGGAAACTTATGTTGTAGGTAACAACATAAAAAGGGAAAGACTTGCAAAATTACAACTATAAAAAAAAGTTTAAAGACACCCAACCAAATGCCACATTTTACACTCTTGGAAGATACTAATGAGTGTAAAACTAGAGGCATTTTTCCTTGTACCTGAAGTATAATGATATAGGCCAAGAGTGGATTCATAATTTGCTGCCACAAATGGATTTGGTTCAGTAAATGGATTGAAATGATCTAAAGAACCAGAAAGAGTTTTTAAATCCACATTCCATAGTCACAGTTGCTCACTTGTGTTACCACAAGTGAGAACACTAACATTTTTAAACATCATTTTTAAAAAGAATTATAATTTTGTTTCAAGTATACAAGATCTAGCCCAGTGGCTAATAAAAGAACATAGGTGCCATACTGGGTGACACCAATGGTCCATCTAACCCAATACCCCGCCTCAGGCAGTGGCAGAAGTGGATGCTTTACTTAACCTGTATCTCTAGATTCAATACCCTTCCTGCCATCCCCCATCTATTAGTTTAGGAGATGCCAAAGGCAATATTTCCAGCCATTCTGTTCAACAGGTCATCCATGAATTTGTCCGGTCCCTGATTTTTAACCTGGCTATACCATCTGTAGAGCCCTACTAGATTCATGGTGGAAGTGGGCTGCACTGTGGCTCCTTTCATCTTGCAGGTTCCCCCGTACACCTCCTGCTGCTGGAGGGTGGAAGGGCCCCGCTTATGGCTCACCTCTTAAAAGTCAGCAGGGAAACAGAAACTACGGTTTTAAACATGGCCCTGTTTTTGTTTCTCAGGCTGAGTTGAGGAGCACACAGACCTAAGTGGAGGCAGCACCAACAGTGGTTTGCAACCTGAGGTGCCACCACATTCAGGGAGTAGTGAAGCACAATGAGACTGACCTAGTCCAAGGCTCATATAATTTATCAGACTTTTCCTGCCCCAAATTAGTTTCAAGTAAGCTTAGACTACACAAGTACGGGTCTGCCAGTCTAGCAAGACTTTCCAAAGCAAGAGACAAAAACCCCACAAAACAAACAAAAAAAAAGTGTAATTATTTTACAGTGAAAAAGTGCTATTAATTCTTCACACTGAGAATGAATCCAATTACTGTATACTTAGGATTTACTACAACAGTCATGTTTCCAGAGACTTATTTCTTTATAATGGTCTGAAGTCAACCATTATAAAACTATTCAAGAGCTGTGTGTTAGTAAAGAAGAGTTTAAATCACCACCACAATACATGTAGCTTCTGGTCAGCTACACTAACACTGATATTGATTAAAACAATGGATTCTTAAGTAGAGGCCACAAGCCCCCCCCAAATTATTCAAATTAAATAGTCTTCCTCGCACAAAATAATGAAAGCAAAGCGATGTTCAGCTATTCCTCATCCTTATTTCCCCTAGGAACTTCATGAAATATGTTTCTCAGTCTTTTGGTTCAGACCAAGAGTAAAGAAGCCTGAAATAAGCATGAGCACATTTGAACACATACTTCTGTCTACAATTGTAAAAAACATCTAAAAAAAGGTTAAACCACCATGCCACTTCAATGCATTATCTATTATAAACTGGGCAAATGATATTTGGCCATTTGATTACAAGTCACATAAAAAGTTTTTTCTGGGGAGGGGGAGAAAAAGAAGTCACAACTTTTGTACAGATATTTCATAAACTGAATTAGAGAGCTAGTTAGTTAAAAGGTACTTTACCAACAAACATTTCATGTGTGGGTGTCCTAGTTGTGAAAGTA